TAAATGCAATTAGACTTCGACTTGTCTAATCATTGTCTTGCTTTTGCAATACCTACATCACAGCGAGCATTGGCTGACTTCCTTTTCTTTCTCTAATACGCATGGGATTGTGTGACGGTAATACGCCAGTAAATTGGTATATAGCAAATCACAAATGTCATGTGGTTTAATATAATATATTTTTTAACCCGCTGAAACTCAAAAATGCAATATAGACATAAATTAAAAATAGGAAATAATTTTTGTACAAGCCGGACCCAAAAACACAATCACGTGCCACGCTTAAAATTAGCGCAAATGTCAGTCTTGTCAAAGCAAATTGACCAAACACGTTGAACGATCAAACACCCTTCATTTTATTTTTATTCAAACTTTTCTTGCTCTTGATAAACACATTCCAATTCTGGACTCAAATATAACTTTCTGAACTAAAATATACTTGCAGTAACATTCTTGTCCATTTGATTTAATCATTGCGTTTTATTATTTTGAATATGATTGCTCTAAAATGAAGTCTTATCATAGGCTCGGCGGTCAACTCATTGAAACTTTTTGTCTCGTTTGTTCAAAAGCACCATAGTAGTTCTTTTACCTCTTGGGTAAATCATATATTTTAATAAGTCATATTTTTCTAGTTCTTGGTCATACAGAGCCCAATTCTGAACTCAAATATACTTCTAGAAACAATCTTGTCCATTTAATTTGATCATTTTGATTTTGTGTTTTGATTATGATCGCTCCAAAACAAAAACTGAAGAGTTCATTTACCTCTGCGTCGGTTGAAGTTTCATAAATGTTTTGTCTTACTCGTCCCATTTTTGTCATAAACCTTTCAATTTGTCCCAGACTCATCTCACTTGTTCCACTTGCCCCACTCTTGCCTCACATGTCCTACACTAAGCCCTTTTGTTTCACACATATCCTAATTGTATGAATCTTGCCCCATATATTGTAAGCTTTTACCTTCATGCCGAGGCCGAACCACCCGGGCCACCAATCATATTCTTGTTTGATCAATTGACCTTCAATAATATCTAACCTAACCCAGAACAGTGTTAGAAAATGAACAATTGGGACAATTTGGTCAGGTGAGAAAAACGTAGCGAATTGGGACAATTGTGATAAAAAGTTGTAAGCGGGATGCTACATTTTGACACAACGCAGGTATTTTACAGTGAGTATTATTTTATAAAAATGACAGTTAATAAAGTTGTTTACCCCTTTTTTTTATTATTTTAATAATTTATATTTATATTTTATAATTTATTAATCATATTTTTATCAATCTCAAAAAATTTCTGAATACAACATAGATTTCATCAGTCTGAAAGTAGTTTATTCATAACGTCAGTGGTTCCCAAACTGCGAGTCGCGACCCCGGGTGAGGTCCAAACGGCGCCAAAATTGCTTGGTAAAACATTCATGTGGTACTTCTTAACCTTTCCCGCTGGACGGCAGGTACCGACATTAGTAAATTTAATTGAGTAACAGTGTTACGAGCGCCAATATTGTATTCTTTTATTAGCTTTTTTGATCATGTTACATTAGAATGAGTAGTTGACCTTAGTCCTTATCTTTTTATTTCTGAGTAACTGTAGGCTAAACCAGTGGTTCCACCAGGTAATACGAGAAACTGATTTTTCGCCAGGCCGCGAGAAATATTGTTAATTGGTTCGTTATTTTGTACCAGTGTAACCGCTTGGTTATCGAATATACAAAGCAAACTTGCGCTATTTGGCGATTGGCCCCAAATTAGGTGTTCGACAAGTATGGTATTGATTGCCATGCGGTGTCTTGGCCGAGTAATCACACTTTAGTTTTCGATCAGTTGTGAAAGCGCTTTGTTGATTTGGGCACGTGTCGAAAATCTATGATTAAGCATTAGGCTACGTGTTTTTGTCCACATCATCGACTCCACATAAAAGTGAACATTTTCGTATTGCAATATTATGTTTTAGGACGTTTCATACATCATTTTGAAGTGTTCCGAGCAGTCAAACACACAACCACAAGTTCTAGCATAATAGGCACTCAAATGATTCCGTAGACGTTTTTCTCATAATTTATTTTCATATCCTGTTTTACTTTCGAATTAATAATGAAGAAACCTGTAATATGCTACCATTGAACTAAAAAAAGACACTGTTGAAATATACTGAATAAGATTTTAAATTTATGTATATTTCAAATCAATCTTACTTTTTCCGAAGTATTGTATGCTTCCGAACAAACTACAACATTCTATTCGCCTATGTTTCTCTAAAGAACCGTTATAATCATAATCTAAAAGATTTTTACAAGGTGGTTTTGATTCGATGCCAAGTGTTACCAAATCTTCTGAGGTTCATATATTTTTTGTCCCAATGTTCAAAGTCCACTTGTAGTCGAAATACAGGTACATTGTTTCATTGAGATAATTAAACCGATATACTGATTTTCAAAGTTGCTGAACGTTTCTAGTTGTGGGATCGCGAGTATCCGTATACATTGATTTTATGAAAATTGGGGTCGCGAAAATAAAAGTTTGGGAACCACTGCATTACGTGATATAATAATTAACGACAAACCTGATTAGGATATATCGATATTTGACTTCATAATAAAATTGAAACTGTAAAGGGACTTCATGGATACCCTGTACAACAAAAGTAATTCAGAACATATTATGAATACATTAAGACGGACAAAGTTGATTTTCATCTAATATTTTGTCACATATTTTAAGGAGATTAGTTTTATATGATAAGTTATTGCTTTCCATTTATTTCATAGTTTTTATTTCAGTTTGAATTTTCGTTCTGAGCAGTTAACCTTATGAGAAAAAAAAACATTTTATTGAAAGAAAACAAATTATATTTAGTTAGTTGTTCTTTATTAGGTAAAATGTATAAATTTAGTTTGGTCAAGTTAAGTTTAGTGGGCCCAATGGCCTAATGGTTGAAGCGTTAAACAGTGCTATGCAGGCATTGAAGGTTTTCTTGAGGTTTAAACATTACAAACAGTGTTTTCAGCTAAGAGTGAACGTACAAAAAATCTTGCTAGATACGTTTCATATGTATAACAGTTATTGCGTCCGTATGTAGATAAAACATAAAATAATTCGCACCTAGTTTTTAAAATGCGAAGTAATAAATACCCTTGATTGGATGAGATTTATACATGCTTGATTCTTTTAAACATTTGAAAATTTTCATAAACTTTTTGCCTTGCTCTAGGGGAAACGCGTTAGGCCTTGGTACTTGGCACGAAGGTGTAAATCAGGTAAAAAAAAGTAATAGTTTTGTAAAAAGATTAGGATTTTTATGCAAGTAGCTGTCAAGCTGTATATTTGAGGTCAAGTTTTATATTTTTACTTTATAAATACAAATTCCCTAATTTGTATATATACTCACCAAATTTATATCCCAGGAGTGAAACTGTAATAACACGTTTCATGTCTGTAAAATACAAACCATCAATAAATTAAATAGTACACAGCGAGTACAGTTATATTTATTTTTGCATAACCTTACTTTGTTCAATTGTTTGTTTCCCAGTGTTTGAAGACTCTGTAGATAACCCAGCCGAATTCCATGAATTAGTCTACAGTGAAGTAAAAGTAAACTACAAGCAAAAGCAAAATTCATTCTGATTGGCCAAATAACTCAACATGAAATGCATAATATTCTTCAATTGTTCATATAACGCACGGCAAGCCAAATTTTATGCTTACATCAAATGTATATAATATATAATCTTTTACGATACAGTAATATTGTTTTTGGATGAGAGTTTGAATGACAAAAGGTCAAAAAATAGCGTCTCTTGGACAATCGACACTTTTTAAAAGCATATTTTTTGATAAATGAAATATTCTTACATGAGTATCCTTACTCCCTAGTAAACGTAGTGATCAAATCATTCATTATTACTTTCAGATATTACCTTCAACTATTATTTATATTAGAAGGTTTCGAAACACGATATAATTACTACTATCATAAGCCGATTAGTGATTTCAATAAACTATTTTTAAAATCAAATTTAATTTCAAATTCTAAAAGCATAGATTTGTCAGGCACGTAATAAATCATTAAAAGTTTTATTACTAGTGAAAAGTAGAAGGTCGTAAATGATCGCCATGAAAAGTAATGCTTATGTTTGGAAGTCAATTTTAATTGAAACCCATATATGGATGGCATCGCGCTATGTTTACGCAATTAGACTATTTCTTGCTGTCACCATGGCTAACGGCAAATTCATTAAAATAAATTCTTCTTCATAATAATTATTTTTTGCCCTAATGACAGCGACATTTGATAATCAAGCAGCAAATAACGTAAAGACGTGTATCATATTTTTACCGTATACGTAAAAATAATAATATATATGACGGATGCCTAATTTGACACCACTTGCAGAAAATCCAAAAGCTTTACTGGTATTTCACAATAATCTTGAGTCCAATATTTGAAATCTATCTGCGTGTTCCTCAGTATTTCTGTTTGGAATTGATATCAGTATAAATTATTATCGGCACTGGTAATATCTTTATCTAATCACCAATTTTTGAGTCGCAAAATTTTAAAATGCCTTTTTTTTTCTTTAAAATGAAACAACAAGAATGAAATATCAGATAATCAATATTAAAGAAATTTTTGTAGATTTAACGACAAATCTGATATCGTCTCGTACTCACATAGATAACCTGCTTGAAGTCACTGTATTCTAAGCTGTATCAAGGCCCATATTCAGTTTCCCTCGGTACATAGGCTCAATTTTTCCTTTCTCGGTATAAGATGTGAGTTATTTGGGCTCAATTCCCATATCAAGGTCAAGTACGTTTTATTATTTTGATTGTTGTAGCTTTTAACGTGGTCGTTTTTTTTACAACGTAATGAATATAAAAATTAAATTATGATTTCGTCCCCTTATACCCTTTTGCGCATCACCCCGGGCAATGCTATTCGATGGATCGCTTTATAAAACTGACAACGTTATAAGATTTGACTAGGGTTCAGCCTCTCAATTTCTTCTCAATACGTCAATCCGTCGTAACCAAAACTTCTATCGAAACGTCAATCTCGTGAATGCACCATCGACTCGTTTGATATTGCTCGCGGTCTGTAGATCGTAGTGTACTTGGAGTGAAAAGTTGAGCATGGCGTATGGAATGGCACCAGTTGCCTTATATCACATAGTTTGCGTTTTTAAAAATAAAGATTTATTTAATAGTTACGCTAAACCAGTAGTGTGCAACTTTTAAAACAGGAGGGTCCAATACGAATACATGGGTGAAATTGCGGCCACACCTTTTTTAACATAAGCTTTCTAGTAGTTATAGGCACAAAAATTTTGGTTATTAATCGTATGACATGTGTTGTAAGTTTCGCATAAGTTAGTTGTTAGGGCATTGTAACAGGTATAGGTAATAAATTAGACTCAGGTAAAAGCTTTGCAACGCACGTACAAAATTAAATTAAAAACTTGTTTCGCGACCCGCGCAACATTCTAAATTGGCATTTCTCCCGGGCCCACAATTTTACTGTGCGCATTTGGCCCACAGGCCGCAGGTTGCATATCCCTCAGTTAAATTATAGATAATCTCATATAGTTTACAAAACAACCTTATTCTTATTATATAATTTCCAAATAGCACAATTTTTAATAAAGATTTCTGGTTGGCAGGTACAATAAATATTCCTACATAAGTTTGTATTAAAAATTGTAAAGTATATTATCAATATGCAATGGAAGTATCGAGAATCCGGTAAGATATTGTTGTTGTGACTGTAACCATGAAATTAGTATTTAAGATTCATTCAATATTGTTAAGTAGGCTATTGAAACGGCAACATGACTAATTGGGGTTTTAGGGATCGACCGTGACTTTTTGCAGAGACGATTCCGTGCCCCAATTTGAGCAAATCCCCCCCCCCCCCCCCCCAAAATACAGTTTATCAGCTAAAAACGTCGTGTAAAATACAGTACAATATAAAATGAGATATTTTTTTCAGTCTAGTTACACCGCGTTGGGACATAAATGGAATGCACCTCAATAAAGTTATCCAAGTACAAGGAGTAACTGAAGATAGGAGTGACGGCGGGTAACTAAAAAACAAAAAAATAATTCTTGTCTTGTTATAAATCTAACTTTTGAATGGTAATGAAAGCCATTGTTTCATTGTTGCATTTCTCATCTCTTTCATCTCAATAAGAACTTAAAGTAATTTTAGCCTTTCGGGTGTAACCACGATGAACAATTAGTAGACGATATGGTGATTTGAGTTCTATTGATACAACAATGACTAATAATAAATAGCTTCACTGTCTTCAATGGTCAATATTTATTTTTCATGTTGTCAGCTACCACGTCAATCTCTTGTGTGGTTCAAGACGGAACGCGGAGAAACCGTTAGCATTGCGCATCAATCCTCAATTCGCTGAGCAACAAATTTACAGGAATACAAAAATAACAATTCGTGGGGGGAGGATGAATTTGACGGTGGATTCCACATCTTCATATGGTTTTGAATTCAACTTATGGATTAAATGTAGAGAAAATCATTTTGAGGTTAGTTATATTACAATTGACAATTTATTTTACCCAAAGCTATTTTAGATGTTGCGCGCCCGAACATGCGTTTTTGTACGAGAAAACTGTGTAAAAACTTTATTGAACACGAAGTCGACCTAAAGTTCGTTTTGGTTATTATGTTTTTGGTGTTCTTCTTGTTGCTTGAGTTGGATTGCGCAAGATTAACTCCCTATCTTTCCATTATGCCGTTATGCTAGTGGATCCGTACGCGTATACTGCAAGGATGCGGTATCTGGAATAAATATGACCATTCTATCCAGTTAAAGAGTCCAGCTGCACACTAATACAAATGTATTTCTGTAACGTTTTATCCCACCAAAGTCATACTTCCTCATTTCTTTTCATTGTTGTAAACTGCTTGTCTGAGGAAGTCTGACTTTGGTAGGACGAAACGTTACATAAATACATTTTTGTTAGTGTGCAGCTGGACTCTTTAATTGGATAGAATGTCTTGTTGTTGTTGTATGGCAATGAGTCCAAAATGGCTCCGGAATGAATGAGGCCAAGAACCATAAAAAGTTGGGAACCAGTGTTTTATATTATATACATTCTAAAATCAGTGCCGGATTTTAGCACTACGAATGACGTTATGAGACGCTAATGATGTTTTATTTATGTGCTAGAGCCTGTGCATTGAGTATTGATATTATGCCTCCTAGATATCTTTTAATGAAAATGAAGAGTTCATCACCTTCGAACATCGACCTCCTTATTCCAAAATCACTCACATATACCTTGGAGGAGATTGCACCTTCAAACTAGTACGCGCTTACATGGAACAGCAGGTAGAAATAAAATATACGTAGAAGAAATTCTTACATGTTAGATTGAATTTTCTCATTTGGTGGAAATTAGTATATATGAATAACTCAACTTGCTTTGTCCAGTATAATGGTTTGATTCTTGTGCGCAATCAATTTTCTTTTCATTAATTCCATTTCTAATTCAATTGCCAAATCCGACATCACTAGTTTAAGTATTTGAATTAAAAATAAATATTGAAATTAATAATATTTTGTGACCTTATCTTGGTTTGGCCAATTTTTTGAAAAAGGAAGGAATTTGTTGTATAATTTAATTACGCCAATGTTATTTTTATATTTCAGACTTCTGAGGAAATGATTATTCGGCATCCCGTGAGTATTTTTAAAGTATTTTTATTCCACTTATATAAGTAGTAAAAACATTTTATTATTTTATAGAAGGCGCCCACGTAAAAACATCCCTGTCCAAGTTATTTTCATTTATTGGTGGATTTCAGCCTTTAATTCAGCAATGCCCGTTGCCAGCTGAGATTTTGTCAAAGGGTTACCTCGCGAAATTCCGTGTGCCTCATAACTTTAATCCTCACATGGCGAGGGCAATCTTTAGTACTTAAAACATGGCGAAGGTGTTTTCTCCTCCTTATTAGCAACACTAAAAGACTTCTTATCGATTCAGTCTAATATTTGCTACCAAAACTTTCAGGGTTTGCCTTGGAAAGGAAATATGCCCTTTGAGCATAATCAATCAATTTGGTTTTACGGATTACCAAATGAGGAAAATGGACGATAATTATGCATTTTTGTTTCTGAAACATATAGTTAGGATAAATCATAAAAATAAAACGACCTAAACAAATATTTTGACAACATGAAGTCGTTATAAGATGTAGCATTAAATACTGTTTTACACGGTTTTGAATTTCTACAGGTTTGAGTTCAACTTTATGGATCGAGATGGAAATATTCATTTACATTTCAATCCAAGAATGTCCGAAAAAGAGATTGTCCGAAACGATTATGATGCCTCCACTGGATATTTTGTATCCGATAATGCACAGCTGCACCTGAATATGCCGTTTCCATTTCATAACAATAGCTCTTTCGTGGTAAGATTCGTGCTTAACTTATAGCTCTATAATAACACAAGGACTTAAGAAGATAAAAACATGCAAAGCCGTTCATTTACTATTTTAATATGACTCACTTTAAATAAATCTGATACATAACTTCCGAAATGCCAAAAATGAAACTAGTCGTACGTTCCCCATTTTGGTTCCGTCGTCGTATACGACTAGTGATGTATACGTCGTATACGTATAAAACAAAAACAACAACGGGTTCCCTGATTATCAAGATGTGACAATAACCCATTCGAACACCCTGACTCGGGATATTGAGCATTGCAATCTTTCCATAATGTACTTCGTATAAAAAGATCGTATAAAAACATCACTCGCTTACTAGTAGTAAGTATGTATTGACCAATGGCTTGCATCCAAAAGTGCATGATTTTACCTCTTATCCGCTGGACTAAGAGGGTAATTACTAAATTTGCTGACATATAGAAAGCAGGTTTGTAATACTGTTTAGGCTGGTTACAAAAAACATCCTCATAAATAATATTGTTAGCTAATAGAATCAGCATTCGATTTTTGTTTTCTATGATGCCTATGTTGTTAGCATATATTTCTGACCAAAATGATATGAAGCCAGATAACAGTTTGATTGCCAAGCACTTCATTCCACTTCGCTAGTTGTCTCAGCTGGTCATAACACTAGTCAATTCAGTGACATTAGTTATGTAACAATATGTCAAATGAATTTTTTTGGGTAATTTTATGAAAAAACAACACGTGCAATTTTTTGATTACCCTCCGAATACAACGCGGTCCACAGATAATGAAGCTACGGACCACATGTGGCCCGCTGGCCTGGGTATGGACCACCCTATAAAACTAGCATATTCCATTTCTTGAAACTTTCCAGTTTATAAATTTCTCTAAGATTCATTTTGAATATAAAAATTTAATTTATTTATTTCCTAAATTGAATATTTTTCTAGTATATTTTTATATTTTTCCTTTTTTGTGATATATGCACCCAATTTCGCAAAATATGCAGTGCACTATATGCAACCAAAATACTACAACACAAAAAGTTAATAGACATTTAAGTAAAATAATATTTAGTTATATTTTATAAAAATTCATACGGGTCCATTAATTGTTTTTTTTACTCAGTTTTAAAAAATAAATTTAAAAATATCACGTTAACTAGAGAAATAGCTTATGTTAACAAAACCTTTGGATAAACTATAATCAAACATCTACAGCATTTACCCATAAAAATAAATAGGTGTTCCAGCAGGAAAAAGCAAACAGTCGAACAACACCATTTTCCTTCCCCAATTTTTCATTTATATCGCTATATAGTTAATCAACGTTATGTATCGAAATATCAATTACACAAATAGTATGTCATTACATTCTGAAGAAGCCAAACCCAAAACCCTAGCGAGCATCTATTATATTCCTGCAGTGACCATTTGAATCAGAATATATCTAACCTAAGTCTGTACAGTGATATAAGTGGGACAGTTGGGTCAAGTCGCACCAATGTTGCAAACGAGAATATCGGTCAGAGACCGAAGACTTATCGATCGAAAGTTAGGGGATCCCCCAAAACAGAAACTGCGGTTTCGATTCGAAAAATTCTGCAAACCCGAACTGGATTGTTTTGATTAGTTTTCAGCCAATATCAGAAATGTAGGAAACAATAGCCAACTCCCCATGTCGTCGAAATACTACTCGAGGAAATAATTTTATGAAGAATTCTGCAAATCCGAACTGGATTGTTTCGATTAGTTTCCAGCCAATAGCCTATTTCTGTATTTACCAATCCTATAGTTTGTGTCAAATACAACGGCGCTAACCCAGGTTGCGACGGCTATTCAAACACAGCCTAGCGATATTTTGGTGAGGAATTCTGCAACCCCGAACCTGATTTAGGGATATGGACATTGCTTAAACTTTAAGGAGTAATTATAAGTAACGAGATACGATCTCGCGGCGTGTATCCTTCGCTCTGACTCAATAGTGTGGAAAATTTCTCGAAGGAAACTTGCGTATCGCGACGACGTCAAAGTTACAAGAGAGATATGGACAAGGCTCAAAGATTAATCACGAGATACGATCTAGCGGTGTGTATCCTTCGCTCTGACTCCCTAGCGTGAAAACTTGCGCATCTGATACGCACACACACATTCAGCGCGTCTCGAAAATCTCTCGATTTGTGAAAATCCAGATCACTTCATCACTAATTAATTAATAACTTGCTATTTATACGACATAATTCATCCAAAATTAATAGGCTTCTGGTCCGAGATATGATGAATGCACATGCAAAATTTGGAGATTCAACCACGCCTTCGTGAGATATCGCGTGCATCTAACAGACACACAGACAGACAGACATACATACATACAGACAAATACCTATCAATATACTTACCGATCTTAAGATCGATAAGTAATTAGGACACTTGTGCTGAAAAGGTGTAATTGGGACATTGTTTTTTGAGACAATGCTCGTCGATTATATTCCAATTTGTAATCTGAACCTTTGCATCAAGAAAAAAAATCTGCTTTCGGTGACTTTTCCGTACCTAATCGTACGTCCGTGCGTCACATCCACATATACGACAGGATTTTATGGGCACTAAACTGCAATGTATAGATTAATGGTGCTTATATTAAATCTCAACCCAGTTTATGAATTTTTGGAATTCAAGCGTGTACACTTTTTTGTGTATACATGCTCTTCGAAAAGCACATTGTTTTGTCTTTCTCTATCTATTATTTTAGGCTCAATACCCCAATTAATAATTGCCTCTCATAATTGGCCAGAGAATGTGGTACTTTTCAATAAAAGTGGAGTTCTTTTGCACAGCAGCGAGCTTACTGGTGTTATTTTTATAAACCAATTAATTCAAGACGAACAATTTATGTCAACCGTTGTTGCATTATTTATAAGCAATATATTCATTGATTGCCTTAGGCTCTGAGGTTCTACATCTATTGACGTAAATTTATACCAGATAATTTCAAAGACAAAATACATGCGTCATGGGAATCTGTATTTATCATTCTCTGTAGTATGCATTTTTGTATAGACCTGCATTATTGTTCATGCCAAGGAGTATTCAATATTTTTAGATCAAAATCTCTTTCGAATAGGATTCATTGAAAAAAGTTTTCCTAATTTTAGAAAATCGGGCTGACTTATAGATCAATAACAGTACAAGGAGGTAACAAGATAAGAACCATAAAGCAGTTAGATCTACTTTGATATACGATCTCAGCGGACGTGTAATATTAATGATTTTAGTTAGGGTTGGGAATGGAATTCTACGAGAATGTCCTTATGTGATTAAACGCATACCAAAGCGATACCTCAATTTATATAATCTTGTTACTCTCCGCTTTGAAAATCGGCCTCTAATCTTATTCCGGTATATCAGTGTTCTAATCCTAATTAGTACAGCAATAGATAAAACTTGGCAGACTTTTGATAAACTCAACACGAAACAAACTGTTTAGTAATCAGGTTTATTTCGATAATATACAATGATAGTAAAAGAAAGTGATATTGATGAGTATTAGTAAACAACATCATTACGGACACCGGTTACTAAAGGGGTGGCCGCGCCGGATTTAAACTGTAAGAGGACTTTGGACTATATCATTTGTGAGACCTCTCCTCAACAAGGACGACGTTCAACTAGGACGTCATAATATGAATCGGAAAATATGTAAAATATATTCGATATTAAAACTGTTGAAATTGTGTGAAATACGAAATTTCAGTAACACGCATCATACATGCGCTAAAAAACGAATAGATTGGATAGTAAGTTGAATAGTAAACCCTTAAACGACATAAAACGTCATGGCCCAAGGCAACCTATGTAACCTAATGACAATCACTTCTAGTCGCGAGAGGGGACAAATGAAACATTACTAATAAAAATTTATCATTTTTTTTTGGTAATATACAATAGAAAAAGATTTAAAAAATAGTACAATAAATTAGCTATATAATAGCTATATATCGGTATTTCATCATCTTTTTCGAAAAATAAATGCATTATCAGAGTAAAAAACTGTTAGTATATTTTTTTAAGTTGAGGAATTTTTCAACACACAGAATAATTCAATTATTTTATTTCGTAAACAGATTGTATTGCGAGAACAATTAATAACCTGGTTCAAAAATTAAACATATACCAGTTTTGAATTTAAGTTATTGAATCGGTAAAATTCTTAAATAAAACTTCAAAATTGAAAAACGGCTTTAAACTGAATAACAGTTCCAAATTCAAAGTCTGGGCTCCTAACGCTTGAGGCTCCTAGGCTTAAGCCAAACTTGCCTAATGATAAGTCTGGATGGAGGCATCATATATCATACATACACGAACTTATTTTCCCATGGGGACATAACATATTATGATGCTTTTTTACTATATAACCATTGAATATAACTAGCGCGATGGCCCAGCGGTAAAGAGCTGATCATAAGTGTGCTGGTATCGCAAATTGCAGCTCTTTGATTCAAATCTCACAACCTTGTCCAGGGAGTAGGGAGTAATGACTTAGGTATAGGCAATGCCAAACAGCATAAATTACGGTTCCTCCGAATCAAACCGCCTGTATGTGGCCGAGCAGAATGCGTGAATATTCGTCATATAAAAAATAATATGAGGGATATGTATTCTGCAGAAACTAAACCCTATTATTGAACTATTTTCTGAATTACCTTAAATGTATATGGACATTATGCAAACTAATTTAGGTGCTAAGGGGATGAGTGAATTTGTTGTTACACTGTAAGAAGTTACAAATTTCTACCTCACGAAAAAATACATTTCTTGTGTCCGAATCTTCACTTTTCCAAAGTGCAAAATGTTGATTCAGTCTCTAATGATAAGTTCCGTATAGCTTGGAAATACTGTTCGAAATTTGACTTAAAATTTATTCATTGAAAATTTTGATTTTCCGACTTCAAGTGTCGACGCAGATCCCAGCATCTTTACTATATACAGGGTGTCTCAAAAGTAATTTAACACTTTGAATTTTGGCTTTTCATTCAGGTACTCATCTTGGAGCGTTCATACCTTCAGGAAACATAGTATGAATAAGTAGTAAAATTTAGGTATTGTTTGCATTTTCAACAACCCACAGAATGACAAGGAGATTAGCCCAAGAAATGAGGTGAAAAATAGCTGTTTGGCAGGACGAATATAAAACAGTATTGCATTCTGCACTTTTACGACACAGAATTACGCAATTCATCAAAAAATTATGTAAACTGGATCTGTATTTGATGTATAAAGATCAGCAAAACCATGGAACGGACGCTTTGAGGAAAACATTCAAAGCTGAATTAATTTCAAATTCTCTGTTAGATAGGCGCTAGGTTTGCCTTACGTATTTTTATGCTTCTTGCCAATCAGCGATTTTGCTTCTCATTTTTTCGGTTAATCTCCTCGTCGTTCTGTGGGTTGTTGAAAAATGCAAACAATATCTAAGAGTTACTAGTTATTCATACTATGTTTCCAGAAGAAATGAATGCTCTGTGATGAGTACCTGAAAAGCAAATCAAAATTAAAAGTGTATATTTACTTTTGGGACACCATGTATATACCTATTAATTACATGTCCGAATCATCGTTTTTAGATTGTTTCGGAATACTAAATATTCAAATGGAATGTAATGAAAAAATTTACATGTATGTTTCTAATTGCTTCCCTATTTTTGTTTTTCTTGCTATCATTCGAGTTTGATAATCTACAAACATTTATATCAACCGATCTTGATATGATATTGCAAAAGTTTACTATTATCCAGACATTATCAGCCTTTGGCTTGTCGAAAACGTAAAATTATGCTTAAATCTCACATAAATAATTTTGTTTTTTGCCACAAGATTGGTCGTTCAAATTCCAATCAAAGCCGGAAGCAATATCGACGCAATCTTCATTACCGAAGGCGTTGTTTGGTTCACCCTCATGCCATGGAATAGAACCTGCAGTTGCCGTTACACCATCTTCCCAGACAAACGTGTTTTCATTTCGAATGTCGTTCAAACCAATCCAGGCGTGGGATCTTCCAGCTCTGACCAAGGGTAAAATTTCTCTGCAAAAAAATATTTGAGTTTTCCTCCGGTTATTTAACATCCCCAATAAAGTATAGCATGACAATTCAAACGTTGGATCGGTAGACTTGGAGGTGGAACTAAGAATGGCCAAAATCAAATTCATTTAGTCGGATTTTCAGCATGTGTCGTTACATTGGTGAACTACATACCATTAGGTATTTTAAGAAGTATAGTAACGATTATATATTTAAATGGTGTTATAAAAGCACCAGGGGCACAGGATCTAAACTGTCATTTGAATCCACATTTGGAATCAGTCCTACGATTATATCAGCTCTCATTTCAACTACCCGAATCACCTGCGAACGTTGTTATCTCGATATCCCGCCGATGCCAGTTGACCTCCGTATCTTTCACAATTTGCTTTCGCCTTTGCGTAGGTGGCCCTGACTTGAAATAGTTGATAGTAATGGTTGTTCCGCGCTCGATACCATGTGCTGATGTCTTTAAATTCGTAAAAAGCCAATGTTTTAGTCAAACTTCTCAGCTGCTCTCGCATTTGTTGCATTACTGTAAATGTAGATTCATTTTATTTTCATGCGCATCATGCTTTCGGTATTCCAACATTTGTAACATTATGCCAAAACTATTGCTATGATCTGATAAAATGAAAATGATATTATTTTACTGTTTTATTCCAATTCGTACATTTGATTCTATTGTCATCTTCAACTGAAGATTATAATTTACAAACAAAACTAAGAATTAACTTGTTTCCTATAGGGTATCGGTATATAAAATCCCATTTTCTCTGCAATAGATATGAAATCATGATACAATGCTTAACCCATTACAAAACAGAAATACCAACATAACCTCGAAAGAATAAATAACGCTGGATCAATTTTATAAAATATATTAGTTTTGTTATTTGTGTTTTGAATTCCTTTTTGTTCCACAAAATTATTCTTTTTTACCTGATTTCAATCCTTCAATATCTGTTTCGATTTCAGTCAGTTTTGTTTGAGTGTGTCCGGATGCTTCAATAAAAAAGAAATATTAATGAGAAATATCTCTGAGGCAACAAACTAAATGTAGGACAAGTATGATTGCTAAAGAAGAGTTCTACATAAAAGCTTTCAGGTTGTTTAAGCCTTTCATGGTTTGTTCGTTTCTTTCACGGTCTCTTCCTCGTTTAAACAAACATTAATTGCCATATTTATATTTATTCGTATATATATCATAACATATGAATGCACAAACCAGTTAGTTCAAGCTTCACAATTATACTAACACGCAATTTACTGTAGATCAAAGGTTTCAGGCTTGCTACCTGAAGCTTTTTTATATTTATATGGTAAGAGTCCAGTGGTTACTGTGTATGTACCTTTTCCGTAGCAAAAGCATGAATAAATATAAAATTATATACAGGGTGATCAGACCAAGTGTAGACAAATGTTAATTAAAATATCTACAATATAAATAAAAGAGAGAAAGAAATCATTTTAAATCATCGCCCTCACCGTTACTGTCCACCACAAACGGAACGGGCATGTTCTCGGCCATGTTTTGCGTGTATATCATAATGCGTCTGCATTAATAAATCGGCAAATAGGGGAGCGTTCGTGATAGCGGCTAGCACTGATCAAAGTGTATTCGTCCAAGGTTTCGGATTATTCACTGGTTATGCAAAGATGTATTGTAACGTAACGCGCAAAATGGCAAAAACATGCCCATTTCGTTTTAGGTGGACAGTAACGGACGAGAGTGATCTCTAAAAGACAAGAACTGCTAGCGCTATAACCGCCGTTTAGCGAACACAAAAGCTAATTGTTGCAATAATTAAAACCTGCTTTCGTACCACTTGAAAAGCTCCCGCGTATCACTAGTGTGGTGCGCGTAACTCAGGTTGAGAACAACTGTTATAAGACATAGATTGATAACTTGTTGGGACAAAATTTTAGAAGAAATCATACGTGCCTCGTGCAGTCAAGTTCCAGTCAGATCGAGGCGTGTAGTGAAAGCAAAGGGAGGATATATCGAAAAATAATAATGAATTCTATTATTTATTTTTATACTGCTATTTTCTGTAAAATAATTTTTATTGTAGATATTTCCGTTTATATTTTTCCGTGCAACTAAGAACCTAATTAATTTCGAATTGTCAAATAGGTGCTAGATTTTGGCTCTGAGATTTTTTAGTTTTGGTGTTTTGATGTTGTCATTCGTTTTTGCTATATAAAATTTTCTTAATTTACCTGATTCGATATCTGTTTCAATTACATTCAGTTTTGTTTGAGTGTTCCGAGATGCTTCAAAGAAAAAGAATAATGATGAAAAGTATTCAAAAGCTGAAAACGGTAGGAAAATATATTTTGTCATCGCTGATTTCTACGAGAAAGTTTTTATCTTGAACGGTGGCTTCTGCTACGGTACTAACCTTGTATGCTCAGTTTAACGAAACATAAATCGCCATGTTTACATCTAACACAAAGCATACTAAATCGAAGATTATTTGCTTGTTACCTAAAATTCTTACATTTAAAAATAGAATGTCAAACATAATCATTTTTCGTAGGTTACACATTTTGGTATCAAATACCTTGCACACCACCTCGCCCATGGTGTAATAAATTGGGATAGAATGAGAAAATAACTCATTGCATATCGTGGCTATTATGGTAGGGATGAGTCTTTTCCATAGCAAAGGCATGAATAAGAGACGTATATATTAAGAAAAATTGAAGACGCCAAATCATCAATTTGTTTTACGCTTTCTAGGGAGGGGCGACAATTGGATTTAGAATTAACGAACGTTATGTATAATACAAAAGATGACGTCACAATGCAAATTTAGTATCATGCTTGATTAATTGATTGTTGAAAAAAATTCTTTCTGTGCAACAAAAAGCCTAATCAAATTCGAATTGTCAGTACATACAAGTTGATCAAATTTCGCTAGTGGGCTTCTACTCTTTATTTCACTCTAGAGTTTGGAGTGCTTTGGGTCCCGGTATTTCACCCAATTTTGCTGTTTTATATCAACTAATGGTTTCGCGTCAGCCATGACCGGCTTAGTCACTGTTGTTAGAAGAACCCTACATCGGTAGCAAATTTGTATCATATTATTGTCAACTCGGATATCCAAGTATGGTTCCCATCGTTAAATGAAAATTCCAGGTCAATATTTCTTGTCGAAAACGGATCATATTTTATTTATTTCAGTTTCTATGACGAAAAAATGAATAGTGGGTATTGAATGAAAATCATACTCATAAAATTAGGCCCTACATGGACAATAAATAATAGAGTTAGGATTTAAAATAGGAAATTTCATTTTGATATCTTATTCATTTCTGGCTTGAATGCGACGTATTTTACTTATTTAAATTTCTAAAATCATCAAAAACCAATGAAGCTGTTTCGCCAGGTCAATTTCTGGTCGCAAAGGCCGAATTACTACTTCCTCGGTAAATAGATATGATATTACATAGACAATAAATGGCTAGTTATCGTTGCAAATTTATTCCCATATATTTAAGCAATGTTTTTTTTTTTAACATGAGCTCTCACCTTCTTGCAATCCCTCAATGTCCTCACTAGATTTCGCAACAATGGGACCTATCTGAGTCAGGTTTGCTTGTATCTGTCCGGAAGTATCTGGAAAAAAAATAAAATAAAAAGTATAAAATAATTTAGTAAAACAACAATTCCTATTGACAACATTTGTTTGTATATTGAATAAATCAAAGTCCCATATAGGCGATCTTATAATATCCGCGCTTTAGATACCATTTGATTTCATTAGTGACCGAATTTTTTCATCAATTTAATTTCTTTTAATACTGTCTCATTCAAGCATCTTTGTGGGAGCGGCGCCGCGCAGATAACGGTTTTGTAGTTTAATACACAATTTTCTGGTACCCTTCATATTATAAACAAATTATAGTAAATTTTTGTCAAAGGAACCAGAAAAATCATGAAGTAAATATTTTTCCTCAGCGACACACCATAACCACAAAGGTAAAAAGTAGTTAAAATAATAATTGGTATGTCCAATTCATATTCAAAATCACACACCAGTAAAATATTCTTTTATAGTTTCATTTATAATATGGTAATCTACTTCTCCTGGTGGCCCCCGTGGCCCTCGGGGCCCAGCCTTTCCTTGCATAATTCTTTGATCGGTTTGGATGGAACGCTGGTCTCTGTTGGTACAATACAGATGCATTTGATGATCCTGAAATAAAGTAAATTATGAAAAAAGTATAAATATGTGAAGCGAAAGCATTCACTTTGGTTACTTAGTCAATTTTCGCCCACTTTTGTACATTCCGACTACAACATTAGTAAGATTAATTGAGGCCTATCTTATCTATCTTATCCTATCTAATCCTAATATATGTCCGTTTCTCCGAATGAATAGACTAGTAGTCAAGAAGTAGTTACATAAATTCTAATTTTGGTGTTTCGAATGGTTTGAAATCGTCAAATATTTGACAAAGCTCTCATTATTAGCATTAAAATCTCTAACTTTACATCACTTTCATAGATTAGATATAGGGACGTTTATTATTTTATTTTTATGAGGCGTTTCAATTCCTTCACTTCAGACAAGGCAGTACAGGCAGTCACTCACTAACAAGTACAAGAGAGCTACTACTACTAAATAACCTGAATCTATCTGTTTGGGTCATGTCTTCTTAAATTATCACCACTTGAGGTGATGAGTATGATATTGATGTAAATGGTTGTATAAATAATTAAATCATCAAAATGTAAAGTCAGATTAAAAATTCAACCGTTCGAATGTGAAGTCTATCCGAGACAGGCGCCTAAATACAACAATTCAATTAATCATGAGAGTCATCTCAGGGGCCAAGTCGTTTTCACTTCTTAGTAAAAAAAGAAAGAAACGAGCCTGGGTTCCAACTCGCTTTTAAAATCTCCTATGCATGTAACTACTTTGATAAATATTCAGCGAAAAATAAGATAGACCAGGATTTCCCAAACTGCTTTCCACGACACCGCTAGTCTGTTCTGACTGTGAAAATATTTTGGAGTTCCCGAAAATTAAAAATTGTCAAATGAAAATATTTTAGCTGCAGCTAGTCAAGTAGAAACTGATACTTGAAGGGCCAATAATTTTGGTAGAAAATTTTTTTGGAAGAATCCAGAACATCGATAGCTGTGGGTATTGGGTGTGAGCACCGGACATTATTGAATACCCGATGATTTCATAATGCAATCAAATATTTTTTTAAATCAAATCAAATCTCAAACACTTGGAAGATATTAAATTGCATGTGTTTTTTCATTGTGGTGGTTCCTACAGCCACCTACATTACTGAAAATGTAGAATTCATCAATCAGACATTTTGCGTAGTCTTTACACACAATAAAAACATATTTCATCAATAAATCACTAGAAAGAAAGTAATAATATGCCAGAATTACACTGTAGAAATATGCCTTCGATAAAATAAATTCAGGAATTCAACATGACCTTTGGCCGCCAAATAATAAACAAGATGGCGGCAATTCTAAATTTTCGTCTGAACCGATTTGAATATTTGATTTGAAATGTCTAGCCCCAGTGACCACTGTTATACAGGCTACCTAGAGTTATAGCAGTTGACATGATTCTCCACACAATTCAAGGTATAGAATCAGCAAGGGTGAAACGATTGCGAAAAAAATCAATAAATATACAGAGACCACACCTGCGAACTTTGTTCGGGAATCCGCTCTTCATGTGATATTCCAACGCATAGCATCATGAGTATCCAAGTAAAATACATAGTCACTCGCTATACAGTAACAGTACTTATTAAGTTTAAGTTTTGTAAAATACATATCATGAAATAGAACGATAAACTTTTTTAACCGAAAGTTTTGTTCAAGTCAGAAACGCTACATACGTTGGTTAAAGCCAATGTACGTCTGGCAAAACAATTTCATGGCATTCAATCTCCTGGCACTCATTAAATTCATTGCCAACCCAACTTTTCATTGTAAAAGTTGAATATATTGGCTTCCATTCGTTAAAAATTGGACAGGTAATGTCTAACTATAAAGTTTCCGGTTGTTTATGTCCTCTTCGTTTTAAAACTTCCTGTTTGAGTTTGCACGCCTGTGTTAAGTAAAAGTGCGACCCGCGGTTTTACCCAGTTATTTGTATCTGGCACTCCTGTATTAAAGGTTGCACACTCCTGATCTATTCGATAATTATCTAAATATCGGTTCAATTCTGAACTTGGCCAGATGAGAATTATCGGGTACAAATTAAGGATCTATGTTTTGTATTGGAAAGCGTAGACTTAAAATCTTCTACTAGTTAGTAACCAGCTACCTGTGAGCGGAGCATATAAAGAGTTTTTCTCTGAATGAAACTTTATATACGGTACTCCTGAAGTATGTTAACCAAGATGGCGGACACCGAAAGGTATAGGATTAGGCCATAATTTTTTTCCAATTTTCCCTATTATAATAGTTCTTTTACGATTTCAGGTACTAGCCGAGTGACTCCCGTATTATTTGTACCTGGAATTATGGTCTAACCCTAACCTGGTACACATACTACGTTCCGGTGTTCGCCATCTTGGTTCACATACTTCCAAGAGTACTAAATATACTTGTGAAAACTAACCAACAGCTAACTATCCCAGAACAAGCTTTCGAGAATCGAGAATATACAATGCTCGATTTGAGACATAATTTGGAATATATTGCGGTAGAACTTTTTTCTTTTTTTGACTCCGACTGCTGTTTTTTTTAATTTTTTATTAACTCGTATATGTTTCTTCTTTTGTTTCAGTTCTCTCAGATTGACTCTCTACATAAAAAAAAAACACGAAAATACAAGTTGCAAATTTTGCTAGCGTCGGCAGCCATATAGCCGACTGTGCAGACCACAGAAACGTCCAGTGATCTAAGACATGACACAACCTCATGTGCTGAGTTTGACTGGTTTTATTTTTTTAAATTTCAATACGTTTTATACGCGTTTTATTCAGAACAAATCTCTTTACCGCCATCCACTGAAAAATAAGCTATTGTATTTCTCAACGTCTGTAATATCATATCGCATACCCGCATATCATAGCAAATTTATTTCACCCTTGGTAACCTGATTGTCATGGGAATTGATTCCGATATTTCCAACCTGCAGCGCCAATAGATAAGACTAACGATTTACCAGTTGGCCGTCGCGCCCGAATATTATATTATATCGTATACAAAGGTTCCAATTCTATTCATTTTATTATAATGCGTAGTTAATAATAATACATCTTAATATAATGCTTCGTGAAATATAACTGTAAAGATTTGATATTTCATCAGAACTTCCCCACCTGCAACAAATTATGCTGACATGTCTAGCTACCGTTTTTCCCCGAAAGGGTATTAAATGTACATATATAGTATTTGGCCAAGGCCACGCGCAAATTTAATCTTTGATTATAATAAATTCATTTTTTTACTTTTTTTGTTGGATTTTTTTTTATTAAACGTGACAAAAAAAAAAATAGAAAACCGTTAAAACAAAATTGTTGTGTTGAAAATCTCTGCAGGGGCATGTATCATAAAATTCGCAGATCATTAGTTCAAATCAGTAGGACCCATGCAATTCTCAAATATTTTTGTGACAAAATTCCAAAAGGGCATTGCCAATAGCTGCAGTTACGCAAAAATCTAGAATTTATTCAATAAGAATAGAAGTTAAAGTAGTATGATTGACGCATGGATTTCGTATATTGGCGAATTCAATATTTCCGCGCAATACACAGATTCGCTATTCATAGAAAAACTGTCAGCTTCTTTTTAAAATAACAAGTTACCTCAACGGCCAGTGTCAAAGCCAACGTGGTGGGGAACCTTTTTAACCATTCAATTGAATTATTATCACGCGATATTGTGCGTCACAGAGGTAATTGCTTCAAATTGATGCAATCGCCTAGCATTTTTTTAGGGTTCAGCAGAACTTTAGGTCAATATGCGTTATCCGACCATATACTGAAAATATATCTATACTAACCATCGGGTCCTATTTAATTTCAAACCATTTTGTATTCCTTATTTGCGCAGAACTTCTGGTTTGCTTTTTTCACACAGCGCCAATACATTGATATCCCTTTCAGTCAGAACAAGGCTTCGTACCGCCAGCAACTGGGAAATAGTTAATATTTTGGAAACATCCGTAATATTTTCGTTCTCACAAATCCTATTCAATTTATTACACCCTGGGTAAGCTGATGTTATCTCAACGACCAGTGTCAATGTGGTGCCAGAGTGGTGGGAAACCTATTGAACGAGCGAATTGTATCAGTGTCACGCGATATCGTACGTCACGGAGGTAATTGCTTCAAGATGCTGTGAGCGCGGTCTTTAGCAAAAATTTTCAGGTTCAGCAGGATTTATGGTCTATATGCTTTTTAACTATTTGCTCAATATATATATATATACTGACCCGAGATATATCCTATGTATTCTTTATTCCACGCAGAATTTCTGTTTTTTTTTTTGGCACGACGCCAATATGTTTATACCCGTTTCAGTCAGAAAAAGGCTCTGTACCGCCGTCCACTGGGAAATAGCTACTATTTTGCGAACATCCGTAATATTTCCGTTCCCACAATTCTTATTCAATTTATTACACCC